TTTTCAGTTCCATCAGACAATGGAGATCACAGGGCTAACAAGTACCCTGAAAACTGGAAATGCAGAGAAAGAGATCACAGTTGAAGAGAACGGATCCTGGAGCCAACCGGAGGTCAGAGAACGTAAATGACAACTGCCTGGTTACTGAAGAATAAGCAGACTTCAGCTTAAAGGATAAAACCTTCTGGGAGCCAGCTCATTTTCATTTGACCTCCATAAGCCCACCAAGTGGATGGAAAGTAATGTTCTTAAAACACCTGGAAAATCCTCTTCTTAGCAGGCACCTATCCTTACAGAATTCCATGTTACCAGAGCTGAAGGAAGCAATTTGAGTCTACCGAGGCCTACCAGACACAGGGAGAGGAAATAACCTAACTCTGGCCCTGCTTTGCCATCTTGTCTCACCAAATGAGGGGAAAAGAGCTGAGAAACAAACATGGTGGTGCACACTTGCGATTCCAGCATTTGACAAATGGAGGGACATCAGGGACAAGACCCCAGCAGGAGACCAGGACTCCATAAGCAGTCTCTCCCCAGGACATCTTACACAACAGGAGGGCTTCTGTAACACAAACAAGTATAAAATAACTGTGAAGCTCACACAATTTAGGAAGCCTCTGAGGTAAACCTAAAACACAGACAGACAGACAGACAGACACACACACACACACTCCACAAATCAAAACTAGGACACTAGAGGACACCCGAGCCTTAATCATTTAGCTCCTTCAGCAAAGAGTAAATACAGCTTAATTTCTAATGGTACAAATTCAGTATGATACCACTCTCTCTCAACAACAAAACATGTAGGGCCTATCTGAAATACAAGAGTACGTGCGAAGAGGCAAATAAAACAACAGAACCAGACTCAGATATGGCAGGTATTTTGGAATTGTCAAAACTACGAATTTAAAATAAATGCCCAGGGTGCTAATGGAACAAGTGGCTACCACGCAAGAGCAGACGAGTAACGTGTTAGACCAGAGATCCTCTAGTTGCCCTCTCGGACAGAAATGAGAGCAGGTCTCCCCAGCATTCTATAGGTTAGGACAAAGAAGTGACAGGCTCCTGTTGTGACCATCTGAGCACAGTCTCCCTCCCTGCAGTCCTCTCTCTGGGACCCTCAGTAGAATAATAAAGCCTGCAGCACTGTGGCCTTGCTGCTGTAGGGTAAGTTTATGATCCTACCTATTGCCACATCTGCAGCATATAGGCCAGGCCAAGGCAGATACCTCCATATGGGGCCTGTCTACGCAGCTGGGAACCCCTAAGAATCAGGGACCCTATTGCTGTGGGGATTTGATGGCTATTTTCTTCAGGACTCATGTCATTTTAAACATGACAACCATCTCTTCTAAAGTTCCTTTCAGGGATTCTGAAGGGAAAACTCCATCTCTCCTTCAAGGTCCCATCATGCTGCCTATCTGTATGCTCTAGGTCCTCTAACATTCTCCTGCTATGAGGTCTAATCAAGTCCCCTCCCACAGATCCCCAGCCAACTCGATGGTAGTGAGGATCTCACAGAGTTCATTCTACAGGGTAATCTCAGGTCTGCTCTATGCCATACACCTGCCTATCTCTTTAAATTATAGCAGTAAACAGATGAATACTCAAAGAATAAATTAAATAACAAAATTAGAACATGTAAAGAATTAGAATAAAACTGGGTAGAGAAAAGGGTTGTTTTTAGCACAATGGGTGAGGCTAATAGGAAGATTGCAAAATCGGAAAATCAAGTGAGAAAGTGAAAAACTGGTAAATTCTTCGAGATATTTTATATGATCTGAATTCTTTAAAAAAGATGAGAAATAATGAGTTACAGCAAAAACTAAGCTTGAAACTTTGTTTTAATCATGTAACATGGCTATCTCAAAAAGTGACAGCAGCTCACATCTCGAATCCTATCCTGTCCTTAACCATTCGTCTATTACGAATGCCACTATTTAAATTCCCTAGGAATTGTCTAACATTCAGCCACTAATGTTCCTGGGAACAAGCCACAGCTTACACCGGCCACTCTACACAAGCTAATTAGCTCATTAAACTTCAGTGGTTATGGAGAGGATGGAATGTTGCAGGGCCAGAGTCTGACTACAACTTACCTTGCTGTGGTTAGCCCCGAATTGCCTTTTCTTGCCTACCTCTGTGTCTGACCTAATATCCTTCCGATTACCAAGTGAAACCCTTTGGACAGTATTAACAGACTTCTGGTTTCCAACAACCAAAAGGCCTTAAAAATGTTATCAGAAGGCATCCGAGGCTTAGAACAGATATTCCCCACTTTGCTGAACCTACCACCTGACGTTTCCACCAATGTATATGGAAGGGACATTGATTTACGATTTTGCTGCAAGTATAAAATTTCATGAGACATTTACCATTGGAGCATGGTATTTGGGAAAACCTGAATGTGTGTTTCTGGGCCATAGTCACTCATCTTAAGTTGTAGCACACCATGCCCGTCTGTACTCTAAGCGGTATCATACAGTTCATGAACTGGGTAAGGGGCTGGAGATTGAAATACACAAAGACTCACAGACACAGAGACATGGGTCATTCTTGAAACAGGAATGCCCCAAGAATACCCCCTTTATTGTGTTTAGGGGCAGCTTATATAGGGATCCTTAACTGATAGCCACGCCCCAGCCAAATGCACTAGAAACCACTTCCCTGCCATCAGGAAACTCCTGAGGATCTCATGCTCAGAGCATCTGCAAGCATTACAAGTTGTTTACCAGAAATTCAGGATCTGGGGGGTTCACAGCTCCCAACATTAAGATCCAGAATAAACCATTTCCTATCCCCTTTGAAACGAAAAGTCATGGATGTTTTTATGTTTGTTTTGAATTAACAAGTGTTATATCATTTTAAGTTACATAACTTAATTTCAATTTAACATCTCTTTAAAGCCAAAACAGAAACTGGGCAAGAAAACCCAGTTATCTGGGTGTATGCCTTTATTCATTTGTTCAGTTAACAAATGTGTGTTAAAGACAGTCTTCATTCTAGGTAATAAAAGTCTACAGCAGCACACAAAAATAAAAATCTTTATTTATGGGGATAAACTTTTTATGAAACACATAGTAAGGGAGAGGTTGATCCTGGGAAATAAAGTATTATTTTACTATGGAGACATTTGACAGAAACGAGTGAATCCTGAGATTATCTCACATAAACTTTCAAAGGACAGCTAATTCCCAGGGCCACAAATGGGAATGAAATGTTTGTGGTGTGTGTGGGGATGGGGGGTGTTACTGTTTTACTGGACTGGCAGAATCCAAAGCCAGATCCCGTGGGGGCTTAGAAGAATGGGAGCACTTACGCAAAGGGCAAGGGAAGAGTTGGGGAAGTTCTAAGCGGATGTACAATGACTACCACACGGAGGCTGTTGGCCGTCAGCTATTCCAACATAGAAATGACGTGGAAGAGGAATTTTGAGCAGTCGATTCCTTTCTAGGTGTAGCTGCTTCATTTGTCAGTTTTCTTGAGAGAGATCTTGAAGGGAGACGAAAACTTGTGAGTCGTGAGTACACATGACTTTGAAAGGCACAGGGCAACAATGAGGAGAACAACCTGAGCCCACAACATATATTTAGGTAAGGGACAGGTGGGTAGATTGGTAAACCATAAGCCTTTAATCCCAGCCCTTTTCAGTCCAGTTCCCTGCCAGCCAGGGCTACACAGTGAGCCCATATCTCTAAATATGCACAAGAACAGACACACAGACATAAAGATAAAAGCAGAAAGCTAGCCACGAATCTAACGAAGAGTAGGGAATCAGTGGTGTCCCGGCAACTAACTGAAGCCTTTCAAACTCTTAAGTGGTCACTTAGATCAGAGCTGGTGATGGGTCAGTTAATCACAAAAGTGTAAACTGACTGTCGCGGGCTATCGGAAAGCATTTTAGTGAAGGGGAGGATGGCATAAAGGCGGAGTACTACAATCAGGGCGGCACCAGGTTCTCTCCCAGGAACTCTCAGTGAGTTCAGTAATAGCCAGAACCTGGAAACAACCTAGATGTCCTTCAATGGAAGAATGGATGAAGAAAGTGTGGAATATATACACATTAGAATACTACTCAGCGGTAAAAAACAATGACTTCTCGAATTTTGCATGCAAATGGATGGAAATAGAACACACTATCCTGAGTGAGGTAACCCAGACCCAAAAAGATGAACTTGGGATGTACTCACTCATAATTGGTTTCTAGAGATAAATAAAAGTCAGTGAGTCTATAATTTGATCTCCTAAAGAAGCTAAATAAGAAGGTGATCCCAAAGAAAAACATATAGCTATCCTCCTGATTATGGGAAGTAGACAAGATTGCCGGGCAAAAAATGGGATCTTGGGGGAGGGGGGGGGAGGGAGGTAAGGGGAGATGGGGAGAGAAAAGTGAGAAGGGGAGGTTGGGGGGAACTTGGGAAACGGGATGTTTGGGATAAAGGAAGGTCGGATAGGGGAGCAGGGAAACAACAAACGATGAACCGGGCAGAGCACTGAAGAAAAGATGTGGCTGGTTTGAGAAGATGACCCAATGGCTGAAATGTGCGACCATGAAGTGGGGAACATTTTAGTGGACCTTCGAGGAAGCACTTTCAAGCTCTACGTCACAGGAGTCCGCCTCTGTGCTTTTCTTCTGGCTTAGCAGAATGTTGTAAGCCGTTAACAGTCTTAAGACAAGCTGACAGGAGATTAAAAATCCTCGGCTGGCAAACATATTAAAATAGTTTTGGTTGCTCAGAGAAACCAAGGAGCACGAGCACAGCAAGAAGGCTTTAAGTTGAAAGACCAAAGGAAAGACTACAAGCAAAAGCACTTGGAAGCAAAGGAAGCAGGGGCCGAGCACCGCAAAGGAGCTTCTACAAAGACCGAATGAGGCCAAAAGAGCCGGAGCCGCCTGGGGGCTCCGCGAGATCGAATGAGTTGGGAACCCCTCTCCAAACCGAGGGGCTGCCTCCGGTATCTAGAAGAATGGACCACGGATCTAGTGCGGAACTTACGTGGCAAAGCTGGCCTGCTTGCGGGTGGTCGTCGGAGAGCCGAACATGGTGGCGACCCGCAGACTAGGGCTCGGCGCCCCTTCCCTAGCGGTTCTGCTATGCCCGGACCCCAACCGCCCGCATCAGCGGCTTGGGAATGTTTGCCGGGCGTCATGGCGACGGAGGAGCCCGGCTTAAGAAGCGGCCGCGCGGTTGGCTGGCCGCTCGAGGTGGAGGAGGAGGGCGGAGGCGGAGGGGAGGGCAGAGGGTTGGTGGAGCTGGAGGAAGCTCGGGCGACGACTCGGAGGAGGCGGGCGGCCCAGGCCCTAGGCCCCTCCCAGGCTGTGAGTCTCCCGGCTGCAGGCGGATGGATGGGGCGTCTCCAGGCGGCGGCGGCAGCAGCGGAGGCGGCGGCAGCGGCGGTGGCTGTAAGTGCAGCCTCCACAAACCATCCTCCCCATCCTTCCACCGGGAACCGAAGCTCCAGAGGCGCCCGCAGTCCCCTTTCCTCCGCTTCCCCTCCCCCACGGCAGAACGCCGCCCGGAAGACCCCTGACTTCCGGGGCGGGGCTGCCCGAGTGTCTGCGGGGCGGGATGGCAGCTCGGAGGCACTGCCGCCTGGTGCGCACGCGCAGCTGCCGCCCCTCCCCCGCCCGGTCTTTCGGCCCTCGCGGTGGCGGCGGCGCACGTCTTCGCTGCTTCCGCGGCACGCCGGGACTACGCTGCGGAGTGAGTTCGCCGGGCGGGCAGGCCAGCTTCCGCCCTTTTCGGTCGGCCCTCGCTCCGCGGCAGGGGTGTGGCTTCCTAGCCACTCCCCCGTGGCTCCACCTCTGTGCCTCTGATTTTCCCCAGCTGTCCCAGCCAGTTGAGGGCTCTCTGGCAGAGCATCCCCTGAGGTGGTGGGCTCGACCTGGGTCAGCCTGCCGTTGTCGGAGGGATCCAGTGGGCGAGAGACTCGGAGACGGCATTGCAGGGAACGAGCCGCGCACGGTGCCTGTCTCCCCGCTAGGGGCCTTATTCTTCTAGTTTGTGATGTAGAGGCTCCTGGCCTGACGCCCATCTCTGGTCCTTGCTTGCTGTGTGACCTTGGGCAAGTCACTCCCTCCTTCCCGGGCTTCAGTTTTCTTAGATTAAATCTCCTCAATCTTTGTAATTTTGCAGAAGATTTTATGCAATTTTAAGACTGGCTAGGCTTCTGAGTCCGCTTAACTGAGATGACCCGAAATTGACTAAACCTTTCATACATCTTGGGTGAAATACGGAAACCTGATTATTGGTCTCCTTTTTAATCTTTAGCATTGCTTACAAATTGCTGGACTCAGTTTTGTGTTTCTTTTTGGTGAAACCAGGTTGACCTGGTTATCAGGCATCCTTTTGAAAATGTGAGACGGGGTGAGCTTGTGGCAACACTGTTTCTCTCTCGTCCCAACTGAGGCTTTCTTTCCTTTAATCCAGATGGTGTGGTGGCTCGATTCTCCCAGTGCCTGGCTGAGTTTCGGACGTGGTTAAGAACCAACTGGTTGAGGTTCAATGCAGACAAGACGGATGTGATGCTGGTAGGCAGGGGCACAATTGGAGACAAAGGGAGGGCAAAAGGGAACTCCCTCATGTAATAGGAACATTATGATTACTGTCTGTTCTGGTGTTGTAGGACTGCTAATGGCCAACCCTTTCAAGACTTTGGGGTGAGATAAAGCAAACATCAGCAGCATTAAGAATTATAAACACAAGTTTGCAACATAAAGATAAAATGGGGCCACTGAATGAAACTGTAGGGAAAAATTATGAAAGGAACCGAATCTGTTCTTTGAAGAGCCAATTTTTTAATGCATCTTAGGATGGCATTCATAAGAGAACTAATGAAAAGATAATTGCAGTTGCATAGTTGTGGAGCCTCCAGATGTACTGTGCTGCTGTGCTCGGCAACCTGCATTCTGCCTACTAAAGTCAAGAGAGATCCAATCTGTCTCAGATGTCACTCGAGACAAGTTTTGCTTGCAGGTAGCCTATCATCACTTGTACTGTGGAGGCTATCATTCCTAGATAAAAGTTTTGGGAAATAGTCTCCAAAGAGGACTCGTGGACTTTGAACATTTTAAGATCGTAGGTTATGCTATGGTCATCTGTCTCAGTCAGAATTGTTACAGATATTTTCTGAGTGTGCTCTGAGAGTTACTTTTTGAATTGCAAAGACAGATGTGCCTACATAGCAGAAATAGTACTAGTTTTTGAGTCAGGTGTTGGTGCTGAAAACAAGGGTATACAATCTTAGGTAAATGTAAGTTGTCAAAGTAGATTTTGTTGATGGAGGGACCGATTGAAGTATAATTACGAACCTAAGTATATTTATTAGCAACTAAATATCTCTGGAGAGTGTGTGCGTGTTTGTGAAACCATGCATGCTGGTGCAGCATGCATGCATTCATACATATGCCTCTCACAGCTACTATTGTTGTTTATAACTTTATCTTAAAGATTTTGAGCTTGAACCCAGGTCCTCACATGCTAGGCAAGTATTTTACCACTGAGCTATATCCCTAACCCTCATTTAACTTTTGCATGGAGAATTCAGTAATTGACATTAAAAAGAGATGTTACCGGATAGAATAGTTGTGAGTAGCTTAATGTGATAAAAATTCAAGTTAATTTTCAGCAAATGAAGGAGATTCTTTAGGTTTATTTAGGCCTTATATGGTGGTTTTTGTTTGTTTTGAGGCAGAAAAAAAAACTTCGCATAAGAGTTGGCATCAGCTACATTATTTTTACATTAAACAGTTTAATTTAGATTTCTAACAGTTACCATTTTGGATGTCACATTAATAAATTCTAATGATTTTGATCAGGTTATTGGTGAATTTTCTTACACATTTTACTCTGCCGTGTCCTGCTTTCAGATACATGTTTTTGTTAGCCCAAGTATAAATTGAGGGTTTGCATTTGAGTACAAAGAAGAGGCTTTTTTTTTTTTTTTTTTTGGGGGGGGGGGGGGGGAGGGCGTTATAGAGTGCTAAAGAACTAGGGGTGATGAGTGATAGCGAGGGAGCAGCTTCTGGCCTTTCAGATAGGGAAGCATCAGCCAAGCATTTGAACTGTTTCTGAAAGGAGCAACCTCTTCAAGAGGTACAGTGAACCTCTGAAAGTCTGTAAACACAGGCAGAGAAGCGTGGAACGAGGAACTCCCTGGCAGATCCTACCTTAGGCAAGGAAAATAAGGCCCATGCAACAGGAAGGTATCTGTAGTGAGTTCTCCTACCTCTGACACCAGAGGAGTCAGTCAGTGTCTCCAGAAAGACGTAGCTTTCCTGAAGGTGGTTCCTGAGGCTGGGAACAATGGGATTGTCAACAGGAGGACATGCAAGGGTACCCAGTGCAGTGGTAATGTGTTGTGTACTACCTACGGTATTAGAGCCATTTCGCCTCATCTCCAGAATGTCTAGAAAACACCACACTCCAGTTTCCAAGAGGGAATTCCCCCCACAAAAGATAATGTCATTTCTTATCTATGGTAGAGGCTATGTTACGATCTACCTTCAAACTTAGTTTTAACTATTTAGAATTTTAAAGTGATTTTTCCCCCTCGTGTTTTGTATGAAATGTTTCCTTTTAATGTTACCTTAATAAAGATATGCCAAGCTGTAAAAAAAAGATAATTTAAAGTTAATAATATTGATTGGCAATATCAGTTAACTTAAAGGCAATTAACAGTAAGATAAGTGCCTATTCAGAATATTGCAGAGTTGATTTTCTGACTTTGAGGACTCGCTCCATAGCTTAAGGAATCTGAGTCTGTTCTTTACCACCATTCAGATTTTTGTTGATTGATATTTTAACTGAAGAGTCAAAGACTCAGTGAACTAAAGCAAGTTATGCCAGCTAAAATCCATGTGTATTAGCTGTCATATTTTAGTGCACAGTCCTCCTTTATCACCGTGGTATAGTACCTCTAAGACCTTTATTCTTTTTACCTGTGCCCACCACTGGCCCACACATGTTCATTGTTCTTTGCCTTTAGCGGTTTTCATTAGTGAAAACTATTTGGATAGGAACTGACATTTTAAAAAAGTTCAAAGAATTTAATAAAACTATGTATACATATATACACATGTATATAATTACCTTACTAAAATATTTATTTCCCTCCAGGAATTTGTGGGGGGAGGAAGCTTAAGATCTTTATAATAAAGTGAAATCACTGTACAGTGCAGTTAATGGTAAGAATTGTTTGTAGATTTGGGAACCTTAAAGTTTTCCTTTCTCTTCTTTCCCTTGCTTTTCTTTCAGTAGAAAATGTGCATCAGATGTTTATGTTTAATTGGTTTACAGACTGTCTCTGGATTCTTTTCCTGTCAAATTACAAGGTAATGTCCTTTCACTTAGCAGCTACTTCATATACCTGTAAATGCAGTTGATTCATGCACAAATTGTTATTGGGCTTAAGACTTTCAGGTTCATGGGCAGTGTTTAGAAATGGGACAAGACTTGGTGGAATCTAGAATTTTAAGGAAATAGAAATAATTTAAGAAATCAGCATCCCTATATTGCATTTTAAGTATGAAGCTTAAGAAAGTTATGTGTGTACACATGTATTGTTAATCATGGTGTATTACTTAGAGGTAATGAGTATCATTTAACTGATTTGGGTAGTCATTTTGAAGCTTCATTAAGAATCCTTAATTGTGTATGAAAAAAGCTGGCCTTCTGAAAAAACTTTTTAAACTTCTGGTTTAGTAAAATATCTTACTGCCCATTTTAATATCAGCCATAAATCTATTTTAGTCAGCATTTACTTTAGGAAATTGGAATAAATCATTGGCCCCGGCCATTATCAGTATGGAGCGCAAGGCCGGTTAGCAACCCTAGGCCAGTTCATTAAAACAAACTTTTTGCTTGCAGGTATCTTAGGTGTTGCAAGTAATTAGGTTGTGTCTCCATGCAGTCAAATAGACATAGCCTTCGAAGAGCAGCTTTTCATTACTTTACATTTGAAACTTCCGTGTAGTTGTGCAAAAATTCATCTGATGTAGACCTGTGTTGCTGTGGCATCGCAAAAAGTGAGGAAAATGTGAGGTTGGAGGATGCATACTTTACCTTTGCTCTTCATCTTTGCCTTCTGCCAGTTTGGGCAGCAGGGCTTTTCTTGTCGGGAATCACCAA